ATGTCTTGAATTTACAGATTAATTTGTGGGTGGGGAATTGACACTGCAACAATATTGAGTTTTCTGTGTCATGAAGATAGTATCACTTTCCTCATTTATTCACAGATTCTTTGATTTCTCTAAACAATGCTTTAGAATTTTCAATGCATATGTCTTGTTATTGTTAAATTTACCTCCACATATTTCGTGGATTTTGATGCTACTGCATCAAGAACCTTATATCAAAGGATATGGGACCAATGAAGAAATCTCTTCTAATCTATACCCTAGCACAGAATCATTGTAAATTGAACTTTTGACAAATTCCATTTCCCTGCATGGAACTATGAGTGTAGTGTGGAGTATAAGGATGAAAATGAGAATCCTTGCCTTGTTCATGATCTTAAGGGAAAAGTATGCATTCATCATTCATCATTAAGTGTCATGTTAGATTAAGAAAATTTTTTTTTCTTAGTTTGGTGGGAGTTTTTTTCAAATATTGGTTTTAGTTATGTAAAATGTTTTTCTGCACCCTTGAGATGATCTTACATTTTTTTCTCTTTAGTTTGTTAACACTATACATTCCAATGATAGACACTTGTCCATTTCCAGTACACTTTTATAAATTGATGGGTTCCACTTGCTATGTAAGATTTTTTACATTTCCATGAAAAATAATGGTGTGAACATTTTTTCTTATGTGTTTATTTGCTCTTAGCATTAGAATAACGCTGTTCTTGTAAGGGGAGTTGAGAAGTATTTCTTCCTTTTTTATTTTTCAAGGGTTTTTGCAGAACAGGTATTATTCATTCTTTAAACATTAGGCAAAATTCAGCTGCAAAAGAATCTGAGCCTTGAGGATTTTGGGGGATGGGACCAGGTAGGGGCAGTAAGGCAGATTCTCTCTCTCTCTCTCTCTCTCTTTCTTTCTTTTTCTCTCTCTGAAGACTGAAATACTGTTTAATGAAAACAAATACATCTGATAGAGTAGGTGGGTATCTCAGAAAAGAACTGAGAGCCCAGGCAACTCTCTTTTCTTGTTATCTTAATATTTCCTATTATTAACAACAGTAGCAACTGTTGATATTAACAGACTTGGGCTCATTAAATTCTTCCAGGTTGAGATACACAGAGTAGTACAATTTTTGTAGACTTTAAGCAATTCAGTTTGGTTAGTTTTTTTCCCCTTTGCAATGCCTCATAATTGTGGATTTCAAAATACCACTACTGTGCTCAACTTTATCTTTAAATGAACTCAGCTTTCCTATAGCTGAGAAATCATTAATGTCCAAAAATGAGCCCTCCACGCAGATGACTTCCCCTTCCATCGTGATGTAGATAACTAGGTTTTATTGCCTTCCATTTAACCCAATGAGCAACTGAGGTATTTTATTACAGCACCATGGCAAAAGCTTATGAAACTAATTTTTTCCTGGAAAATTAATTTAATTTCTTGGTCAATTGAATACTGTCTCCCCACCCTTTCCCATTCTTCCTTTACTGTTGACCTCTTTAAAGCTTGAGCCTCTCTTGCCATTTAATGGTTGCTGCCCTTTCCTTCCTAAGTAAAAATTAGAATGTAGGCTCTTTCAAAGTTTGATCACCTTGGCTATGAATGTACTTTTAAAAAATAAGTGCCTTTGAGTCACAGAGACTTTCTCTGTCCATCCTAAAATTGAGATTGGCTTCTTTAAATACTTCTTCACTATGACTTCTTATTTCTCTTTCTTTCTCTTATTTGTAAATACCCCCCAACAAATCCCAAACACAGCTGGATACTATGAAGTTAATACCACTGACAATGAAGAATCAAAGTGATGCATAAACATCTTTTTGGGAATGAAATCAGACACACTGAAAAGAAATTAAGCTTAATTTTGAAAGTTTATAAGTTTATATTATAATCCTTATATAAAAATTATCTGACAAATTGTAATCCTTTAATTAAAGCTGTGTGTTCATTAGCTAACAGAATTCAAGGCAAATACAATCAATTTATTATTGATATCTGTTAATTTCTGGTTTTGTTTTCTTGCCAGGGTGTCAATAGCATTTCTCACCTCTAATTTTCTTTGTCAATCAGTAGCTTCTGGCTTTCCTTATGGATTAAATGAGTGTTGTACACTGACCCAGGAAATTAACTTCTAATGCATTTGTCTTAAGAGAAATTGAACTCAAAATAATGATCTCCCTTCCTCATTCAAAACTAAATTTCTTGAGCATCTAGTCTACATTTACTTCTTCACTTTCCATTCCCTCCTTAACTCATTGCAACCTGATTTTCACACCAACACCCGCTGAAGCATGGACTTTCTGGTCATCAAAGCTGATGATCTCTTTTTTAATTCTCATTTTGCTTGATTTGTCTTCACTCTCGAAAGTATCGGTTGCCTCTTTTGTCTTTAGAGATTAAGATATTATTTTTCTCTAGTTCTCTTAGTGCAGTGACAATTTTCGATTTTCTATTTCTGACAACCCTTTCCCCTTTCTGTCTGTTCAGTATTTGGTTGTTGAGTTTCTTATCCTTGAGTATATATTTTTAAGTGTATTTATTTATTTATTTGAGAGGCATGGAGAAAGAGACAGAGAACACACTGCCATCTATTGGCTCAGTCCCCAAATTCCCACAGTAGCTTGTATTCGACTAAGCTGAAGCTGGCATCTAGGAACTCAAATCAGGTCTCCTTAGTGGTTACTAGGAACCTAATTGCTTCAGCCATCATGACTATCTCTTAGAGTCTGTGTTAGCAGAACTCTGGGATCAAGTGCCAGCATCAGGCATCAAAACCATGCACTCTGATGTAGAACATGGGTGTCCCAACCAGCATTTTACCCACTATGCAAAATGTTTGCTTCCCATTATTCTTGACATAAGGCTTAGTGTTGTTGTTTATTTGGAAAATCATCTTTAAATAAATTATGTAATCATATTAGGTAATATCTTGAAAGTGTGTGAATGACAGACTTGGTCAATAAATCTCCAAAATTTCCCTTGACCAACATGGGAGATACTCAGTTTGAGATACACTCTAACTGGTGGTGAGCACAGCTCCTGAGGAAATCTAGGTTGTAATCTCATTAACATGCCCCATAGCAAAGGTCTAGGGCTTCGTAATATTTTGCGGTTCAGTGTTTGACTAAGCCTTTCAATAGCTTAAGCTGTAAGTACCATATAATCAAGAAATCATCATGAAAATAGTACATGAAAACAGTTATCCATAAACTTTAAGGGAGGGGCCGGTGCTGTGGCTTAGAGGGTAAAGCGGCCACCTGCAGTGCGGGCATCCCATATGGGCACAGGTTTGTGTCCCAGCTGCTCCACTTCCAATGTAGCTCTCTGCTATGGCCTGGGAAAGCAGTAGAAGATGGCCCAAGTCCTTGGGCCCCTGCACCCACGTGGGAGACCCGGAAGAAGCCCCTGGCTCCTGGCTTTAGATCGGCACAGCTCGGCCATGTCGGCCAACGGGGGAGTGAACCAGCAGATGGAAGACTTCTCTCTCTCTCTGCCTCTCCTTCTCTCTGAGTGTAACTCTGACTTTCAAATAAATAAATAAATAAATGTTTCAAAAAAACCTCAGGTGAGGCAGAATTTATTATGTTTTGGGAGTGTTGGAAGCTTGCAGAGTTTTTTAGGATCATTTTTTAGAATTTTACCGATTTATTTGAGAAGCAGAGAGACAGAGAGGAAAGGAGGGAGGGGGCAGAGAGTTGGTGCTCCCTTTCACTGGTTCACTCTTCAAATTCCTACAATTGCTGGGCTTGGGCCAGGCTAAAGCCAGGAAGCAGGAATGCAACCCAAGTCTCCCATGTGGGTGGCAGGTACCTAACTTGCTGAATCATCACACACTGTGTGCATTAGGAGGAAGCTGATGTCAGGAACCAGGGCCAGGAATCAAACTCACGTACTCCTTTGTGGAAGTAGCTGTCTTAACCACTAGGCTGAACACCTGATAGAGCACTACTTAGTCATGTGAGAATAGTGACTGCTGAAAGGTAATTGTGGCAGCTCCTAGCAAAAGATCTCAGTAACACAGTCCAGGAGGATGAAGCCCTGGAGTCTATACACTTATTAAACAGGCAAAACTATACATCATATATAAGTATATGGAAAATATAATTATACAGCTAGATAGTGCTATATGAATTTGTGTACTTATTTTTCATTTGCTTATCATGAGCATTCTGCTCACCTCAATATTTATTTTTCAAAAATACCATTTAAAAGTTAGTGTGGCTCTTCATTACATGCTGTAACAGGTTTGAAATTCTGTTCTTATGTTTGCTTTTTCATCTTTCTAAATAACATGGAACACAAAAATAGGAGAATTATAAGTGAGTCTAAGACTTAGAAAAGATTATGCAAAGAATTAATTATTTTTTCCTTGGTATATACTCCTCAAGGTCTTTGAGATGATTGAATTAAAACATTTTTTGTGAACTTCGGTGTGTAATTCTGAACTACTTTTCAGAAAACTGATATAACTTCCTATTAACAGAATATCAGAGGGAAAATGTAGGCATAATGTAGCTAGATATAAATAAGAATGTGGTAAAGACTTATTTCATCCTTAAAAGAAAGTTTGAGAAGTGCACAGTAGATAATAGATCAATAAATGAATTAAATGTAGCCAAAGTGTCCTGATAAGGATAAAAACATCAAGTTTAAAAAGGATTTTCTAGAAGCTTGCTAAGGGATTTTTTTCTATGCAGTATTTATTTTAAAATGAATAACATAAAGAATACTAAAAAATTGCTTTGAAAAGTTGAGTATTGGTACCTGCATTTTATGTAGCACAGTGGGTTCTCACTGCCCTCCGCCTCCCCCGCGCCCTCAGCACCTCAGCCTCCCTCGTCACCTGCTTACCCCGCGCCCTGAGCTCCTCAGCTGCCCACGTCCCCCGCTTCCCCCGCGCCCTCAGCGTCTCAGCCGCCCGCGTCCTCCGCGTCCCCCGCATCCCCCGCGCCCTCGCCGCCCGCGTCCCCAAGGACCCGTGAGATTGAAGCTGGGTCCCCGCCCGGCCCTGCTGACGTCACGCGGCGGCGTGCGGGCCCCGCCCCTGCCGGCGTCACGGCGCACGCCGCGAGGATGCCATAGGAGGCGGTGCAGGTGCGCGAGGTCTGCGTCGCGTCGTGGTCCACGCAGGAGCCATGAGCGGCCCGGGAAACCTGATGGACTTCTTGGACGAGCCGTTCCCCGACGTGGGGACCTACGAGGACTTCCACACCATCGACTGGCTGCGGGAGAAGTCGCGGGACACCGACCGGCACAGGAAGATCACCAGCAGGAGCAGGGAGTCCGTGTGGGAGTTCGTCAAGAGCTTGCTGGACGCCTGGTCGGGGTGGGCGGTGATGCTGCTCATCGGGCTGCTGGCAGGCACCCTGGCCGGGGTCATCGACCTGGCCGTGGACTGGATGACCGACCTGAAGGAGGGCGTGTGCCTGTCCGCCTTCTGGTACAGCCACGAGCAGTGCTGCTGGACGTCCAACGAGACCACGTTCGAGGACCGCGACAGGTGCCCGCAGTGGCAGACGTGGTCGGAGCTGCTGGTGAACCGGTCGGAGGGGGCCAGCGCCTACGTCCTCAACTACCTGATGTACATCCTGTGGGCGCTGCTCTTTGCCTTCCTGGCCGTGTCCCTGGTGCGCGTCTTCGCGCCCTACGCCTGCGGCTCCGGGATCCCGGAGATCAAGACCATCCTGAGCGGCTTCATCATCCGGGGCTACCTGGGCAAGTGGACGCTGCTCATCAAGACGGTCACCCTGGTGCTGGTGGTGTCGTCCGGGCTCAGCCTGGGCAAGGAGGGGCCGCTGGTGCACGTGGCCTGCTGCTGCGGGAACCTCTTCAGCGGCCTCTTCTCCAAGTACAGCCGCAACGAGGGCAAGAGGCGGGAGGTGCTGTCGGCCGCCGCCGCCGCGGGCGTCTCCGTGGCCTTCGGGGCCCCGATCGGGGGTGTGCTGTTCAGCCTGGAGGAGGTCAGCTACTACTTCCCCCTGAAGACGCTGTGGAGGTCCTTCTTCGCGGCCCTGGTGGCGGCCTTCACGCTGCGGTCCATCAACCCCTTCGGCAACAGCCGGCTGGTGCTGTTCTACGTGGAGTACCACACGCCCTGGTACATGGCCGAGCTGCTCCCCTTCATCCTGCTGGGCGTCTTCGGGGGCCTGTGGGGGGCGCTGTTCATCCGCGGCAACATCGCCTGGTGCCGGAGGCGCAAGACCACCCGGCTGGGCCGGTACCCGGTGCTGGAGGTGCTGGCGGTCACGGCCGTCACGGCCGTCGCCGCCTACCCGAACCCCTACACGCGGCGCAGCACCAGCGAGCTCATCTCCGAGCTGTTCAATGACTGCGGCGCCCTGGCGTCCTCCCAGCTCTGCGACTACGTCAGCGACCCCAACATGACCCGGCCGCTGGACGACATCCCCGACCGGCCGGCCGGGCGCGGGGTCTACACCGCCATGTGGCAGCTGGCCCTGGCGCTGGTCTTCAAGGTCGTCATCACCGTCTTCACCTTCGGCATGAAGATCCCCTCGGGCCTCTTCATCCCCAGCATGGCCGTGGGCGCCATGGCGGGCAGGATGGTGGGCGTGGGCGTGGAGCAGCTGGCCTACCATCACCACGACTGGATCGTCTTCAGGAACTGGTGCCGGCCCGGCGCCGACTGCGTCACGCCCGGACTCTACGCCATGGTGGGCGCCGCGGCGTGCCTAGGCGGCGTGACCAGGATGACCGTGTCCCTGGTGGTCATCATGTTCGAGCTGACCGGCGGCCTGGAGTACATCGTGCCCCTGATGGCGGCGGCCGTGACCAGCAAGTGGGTGGCCGACGCCTTCGGGAAGGAGGGCATCTACGAGGCGCACATCCACCTGAACGGGTACCCGTTCCTGGACGTCAAGGACGAGTTCACGCACCGCACGCTGGCCACGGACGTCATGCGGCCCCGGCGCGGGGAGCCGCCGCTGTCGGTGCTCACCCAGGACGGCATGACCGTGGAGGACGTGGAGGCGCTCATCAAGGACACCGACTACAACGGCTTCCCGGTGGTGGTGTCCCGGGACTCCGAGCGCCTCATCGGCTTCGCCCAGAGGAGGGAGCTCATCCTGGCCATCAAGAATGCCCGGCAGCGGCAGGACGGCGTGGTGAGCAGCTCCGTCACGTACTTCACGGAGGAGCCCCCGGAGCTGCCGGCCAACAGCCCGCAGCCCCTGAAGCTGCGGCGCATCGTGAACCTCAGCCCCTTCACCGTCACGGACCACACGCCCATGGAGACCGTGGTGGACATCTTCCGCAAGCTGGGGCTGCGGCAGTGCCTGGTGACGCGCAGCGGGAGGCTCCTTGGCATCATCACCAAGAAGGACGTGCTGAGACACATGGCCCAGATGGCCAACCAGGACCCCGAATCCATCATGTTTAACTAGCAGCCAGGGGGCCTCAGTGCTGTGGGGCTCGTGGGTGGGTGTCCAGGCTATGGTTTGTGTGCAGACGTAGGACACAAATGCCCATCAGGAAACTTGACGCTGTCTCCTCCAGGCTGATGTCTGTAACCTCGGAGCACAGGGAAGCTTCGAGCGCAAAGGCCAAAGAGGGGGTATCGGCTGGTCGTCCGTGTCATCCCTGCCGGGGCTTCATTGGCTCGTTGCTGTTCCTTGTGTGTGGAACTGGCAGGAAGCTGGGGTCAGGAGCCAGAGGTGGGAATTGAACTCGGATACTCCAGTGTGGATGATGGTTGATGACTCAGCGGTCATGTGATAATGATGAGTCGGCAGAAATGTCCTGAGGACTGACCAGGTATGTCATAACGATGACTCCTCAGGTACGTCATAGTGATGACTCGCCAGAAATTTCACAGTGACTCACCAGGTACATAACAGTGATGACTCCGCAGGTATGTGATAATGATGTGTCAGCAGAAATTATTGAGGACTACCATGTACATCAAAACGATGACTCATCAGGTGTGTCATAGTGATGACAAACCAGAAACTTCACAGTGACTCACCAGGTACATAATAGTGATGACTAAGCAGGTGTGTGATAGTGATGAGTCTGCAGAAATTTCCTGGGGACTCATCAGGTGTGTCATAGTGATGACTCAACAGAAATTTCACAGTGACTTACCAGGTACATAGTAGTGATGACTCAGCAGGTATGTGATAATGATGAGTCAGCAGAAATTTCCTGGGGACTGATCAGGTACGTCATAGTGTTGACTCAGCAGAAATTTCACACTGACTCACTGCCTGGCCAAACACCACCCGCTTTGGTTTTCCAATAGAATGAAATTCACAGTCTTGTTCCTAGCACCAAAGTATTGAGTGACAAACCCTTCTGTCAGTGTTGTTATTGGGGTTTCCATGGAACATTTGCAACTGAAACTGGATTCTTCTGGACTTGAATCCCTAAAAAAGTCAAAGACACTGCATGGTAGTTCTCCTCTTCTCTGCGTGTGGCTCCCCTCGGAGCTGGCCTGTCATGGGAAAACACGGTTCTGTCATAGCCTGTCTCTTATATGTCATCCCAGCACCCTGCTAGCCGAAACAAGGTTCTTCCGAAGGGAACACAAAGCAATGGTGCCGCAGCCAAGGGTCACGGAATCTGCGGACGACTTCCCATTTAGTGCCGCTGAGGCCATGGAGAAGGACGAGGGGACAGGTGGCCTTGGGCGGGGATCACCCAGGGGAACTTGGGAGCTGTGCGTGTGTTCTGAATGCTGGCTGTCATGTCTACGGCCATACCACCCTGAACGCGCCCGATCTCGTCTGAATGATGGCTGTCAGACAGTTGTAGGGCTTTCTGGATATTTCCTAGTCAGTTTTTAACGTTAAAAAAAAAAATCCTATAAATAGTGGAGGAGGCGTTCTTCCGTGAGGAACATCACCGATTTCTTTTTCTCTCTATCCCTAAGGAAATGGGTTGGCCCAATAAAGGGCATCTTGAAAATGAAAAAAAAAAAAAGAATCATTGTGAGTTTTAGTCACTCTTTTAAGGGACATTCACGGAAGAGCTGCTGTGTGCCAGTCACATTAATAAGTACAGGGCATGCGTTAGTGGTTGTTTGTAGTTGAAACCACAAACCCAGATGTCTACGAATTTTAACTTTATTAATTTTCTCTGACATAGTAAAGTATACATACTGATGGTATGGGAAACAGTGCATGGTGTATGGGAACTATCTGTACCATTGTCTCAATTTTTCTGTGTATCTAAAACTTCTAAAAGTTGTTTATCATTTAAAAAATAAATAAATGGGAAGCAAACATATAAAAAAGGAAAAGTGTTCCTTGGTTTAGAGTACTAGAGTTCATCTGACGGACATTGCAGACATATTCGATCAACAAACTAGATCATTCTAGTCGAATGGATCACAAACAGCTTGTATGAAATCCCAGATGAGTGAAATGTAATTAAAAAATATGAAAATTTGGAAGAGCAAGAGGCATGTTGCTTGGTGATAGAGGAGAGATCTGTAATCATTTTATGCAAGACGGGGACATTCAACTAGATTTTGAGAAACGGTAGAGCTTGCCTCTCTTAATTTAATTTCCCAGGGGGCAAATTGTATTAACTGTACAGAAAGAATGGTAATATGGGCTGATTTCTCACACTACTACTAGATTACAGTAAGTAGACATTTGAGTTCAGTGAAGCCCTAAACAAGAATCCTCCTTAAATCTTGTTCAAGCTGGTGTGTTTTCTTAATCTGTCTTTCTTATTGAGATTTATATATCCTGAAGATGAGGAGACATAGAGTCCATAGGCTTCTTAAATGTGAACACTACAGTTGCTGGCACTGTATGCAACTGTAAGTATTATTTTCTCTAGACCTTTATTTACATTGTTTGGAATATTGTTTTCATTTTCCTTGGGCAATGAGATGAAATCGCACCTACAAGTGAGATTTCCGTGTCACATAATAGGTGTGTGTTTAACTTGATATCAAACTGCCAAACTGTTTTCCAATGTGCTCATGTATTTTGACATTCTCACTAGAAAAGTATGAGGGTTTCAGTTGCTCCACGTCTTTGCCCACCTGGAATGTCACGATTTCACTTTAGAAAGCTTATTGTATGGCAATTCCTCATTGCAGTTTTATTTTGATTTTCAAGATAAATAATGGTGTTGAGAATTGCTCCATGTGCTAATTGGCATGTATGTATTTTCCCTATTCAAGTGATTTTTTATACTCTTTGCCCAGTTTTAGAATTGGTTTCATCCATTAATAAATTATAACTTTCAAATTATGTTTTGAATACAAGTTCCTTAGTAGGTATGTTTCTTCATATATTTTCTCAAGTACAGTGACTTGATTTTCCATTTTTCACCATTAATTTTATTGTTAACCTATGAAGGAATAACCTATGATGGAATATTGGTAACAACTATTTATTTAGCATTGGCATTGTATGAGATAATATGAGTAAACTCTAGGGGGCTGACACTGTGGTGTAGTGGATAAAGCTGCTGCCTGCAGCGCCAGTATCCCATTTGGGCACCGGTTCAAGTCCCCGTTGCTCCACATCCAATCCAGCTCTCTGCTATGGCCTGGGAAAGCAATAGAATATGGCCTAAGTCCTTGGGCCCCTGCAACCAATGGGAGACCCAGAAGAAGCTCCTGGCTCCTGACTTTGGATTGGCACAGCTCTGACCGTTGTGGGCAATTGGGGAGTGTTTATTCCTTGTCTCACATGCAGTGCAGGGGCCCAAGCACCTGGGCCATCCTCCACTGCCCTTCTGGGCCAGGGCAGAGAGCTGGACTGGAAGAGGAGCAACCAGGACTAGAACCGATGCCCATATGGGATGCTGCTCTTCAGGCCAGGTTGTAACCCACTGCGCAACAGCATTGGCCCCATTATAGCAATTTTTAAAAGAGACTGTTCTATCCACAGATTTTGGTATCTTTTAGTGGCAGGAGAAGGGGAAATGAGTGTCCTTGAATGCCCATGAATGCCAGGAGACAATTGTACTGTAAAATTAGTATTATTTTTCTTTTTTCCTTTCCTTAATTTAAAAAAGTATGTATTGTGTGTATGCATATGTATTTAGTGCTACAAAATTTTATCACATATCTACATTCATGTAGGTTCCTGTATCTGCTGCCATATAAGAAACATTTCCATCATCACAAAGTTTTCTCATGTTGCCTTTTGACAATCACATCCACCTGGATCCCTCTGTTCTCACATATAACACCTGACAGCCACTTAAAGTTTGTCATGTAAAAATTTCATACTAATGAAGCCATACAATATGTAAGTTTTGAAGACTGACTTAGCATAATTAGATATGAATATTATATGTATCAATACTTGATTCCTTTCGACTGTTGAATAGTGTCCCATGAAATGGATTGCTGCAGTTCCTTTAACCATTTGCCCATTGAAATATATTTGGGTTCTGATGCTGTGGCTTAGCGGGTATAGTTGGCGCCTACAATACTGGCATCCCATATGGGTACCAGTTTGAATTCCAGCTGCTCCACCTCTGATCCAGCTCTCTGCTATGGCCTGAGAAAGCAGTGGAAGATGACTCAAGTTCTTGGGCTCCTGCACCTGTGTGGGAGACTGTAAAGAAGCTCCTGGCTCCTTGCTTCGGATCTGTGCAGCTCTGGCAACTGCATCCAATTGGAGGGTGAACTAGTGGATGGAAGACCTCTCTCTCCCTCTCCCTCGCTCGCTCACTCGCTCTCTGCCTCTCCTCTCTCTGTATAACTCTAAGTTTCAAATAAGTCTTTTCAATAACAACAAAAGAAATGAAGCCTCTGTGAACATTCATGTACAGCACACAGATAATCTATAGGTTTTTTATAATCATAAGTTGAATGTCCAAGAGCGTAGCTTCTGGGTCATATGAGTGTTAATTTTATAAGAAACTGTAGGTGCTGGTGCTGTGAGCCACCATCTGCAGTGCCGACAGCTTATATGGGCGCCAGTTCAAGTCCTGGCTGTTACACTTCTGATTCAGCTACCTGCTATGGCCTGGGGAAGCAGTGGAAGATGGTTCAAGTCCTTGGGCTCCTGAACCCACATTGAAGACCCAGAAGAGGGTCCTGGATCCTGGCTTGGGATTGGCTGAGCTCCAGCCATTACTGCCATTTGAGGAGTGACCCAGCCAACAGAAGATAACTCTCTCACTCTCTTTTTGCCTCTGTCTCTCTGTAACTCTTTCATTCAAATAAATAAATAAATAAATAAATAAATATTTAAAAGAGAGAAACTGTGAAATCACTCTACAGAATAGTTGCTTCATTTTACACTATCGCCAGCAATGTATGTGTTACAGTTTCTCTGCATGCTTTGTAGCCTTTGTTTTGTTGCCATGCTTTATTTACTAATTCCAATAGGCACGTAGTGACATCTCCTTGTAATTTGTGATTTTAATTTTCACTTTTCTGATGACTAGTGATGTTGAACACCTTTTCATGGACATGTTTGTTACATCTGTTCCCTTCAGTGAAATTTTAGTTTATGTCATTTGCTCATTTTCTGATTGGGTTGTTGATTTACTGTGAGTTTTATGCTTTTAAAAAATGTATTCTAGTTCTAGTGTAGTCTAGATTGTAGACCCTTGCTGAATCTGTGATTTGCAAGTATTTTTTTTTCTATTTTGTATCTTGTGTTTTCAAACTCTTCACTTATTTTTGTCCAGAGCAAAATTTTTAATTTTGTTGAGTTACAATTTACGGATTTTTTTCCTTTCGGAGGTTATACTTTTGGTGTCAGGTGTTAAGAACAATTCATCTGGTGCTAGATCCCAAAGATTTTGTCCTATTTAATTTCTGAAAGTTTTACGTTTTACATTTAAGGCAATGATGCATGTTGAAGTTTTTGTGTAAGCTATGAGGCTGCTGGAGACTCTTCCTCTTCTTTTCCTTCTGCTTCTCCTCCTCACTCTCCTTTTTCTCTGCTTCTTCTTCCTGCTCTTCCTGCTCCTGCTCCTGCTTGTCCATCTATTCCTCCTCCTCTTGCTCTTGCTCCTGCTCCTTTCTTTTTGCCTACAGATGTCTAATTGCTCCACCACTATTTGCTGAAAAGTCTGTCCTTTCTGCATTTAGCTACTGTGTGCCTTTGTCAGAAATTAGTTAAGTGTAATTTATGTTGGCCTAATTCCTGGCTCTTTGTTGTTCCATTGATCTAAGAGTCTACCCATCCACTAAGACACATTGTCTTGATTACTGTAGCATTATAGCATGCCTTAATACTGGGTAAAGTAATTCTTCTTGTTTTATGCTTTTTGTCAAGATTGTTTTTGCAATTATAGGAACTGTGTCTTCACTTATACATTTTAGAATGTGTCATATTCATACTAGAATGTGCTGCTTTTTGATAGGAACTGCATTAAACCTATAGATCAATGTGAGTCGAACTGCCTTCTGTAGTTTATAGGATGTTCCAGGGACTGGCACTGTGGTGTAGAGGGTTAAGTTGCTGTCTGTCGTGCCAGCATCCCATATAGGTGCCGGTGTTAGTCCTGGCTGCTAGGCTTCCAACCCAGCTCCTTGTTAATGGCCTGGGAAAAGCATCAGAAGATGGCCCAAGTACTTGGAACCCTGCACCCACTTGGGAGACTTGGATGAAGCTTCTGGCTCCTGGCTTCAGTCTGGCCCAGCCCCCCTGGCCACTGTTGCAACCAATCTGGGCAGTGAACCAGCAGATGAAAGATCTCTCTCTCTCTCTCTCTCTCTCTCTCTCTCTCTCCTTCTCTTTCTCTGTTACTCTGCCTTTAAATAAACCAAATGAATATTAAAAAAATTGAATGTTCCAACTAATGAATGTAGTATATGTCTGCATTTATTCAGTCCATTATTCTGGTGGACTCTGCTGCTCATGTCTCCTCACCATCTGGTGGTTTAGGGTTTTCTGGTTGTCTGGATCCGTCATTGAAGGTGAGGTTTTGCCTGTGTTGAGGTGGCTGCTGATCTTGAGTCTCATCTCCTTGATTTTCCTTTTCTTCTTCCTGGT